ACATTAACATTTTACGCTGTTTATCCTGTGGTGCTTCTGTCAGATTGGACGTCATATTTTGTGATGTGCGTTTTAATGTATGCAGAGTGTAACCAACAGTTTGTCGCTCCATCTGAAAGAAACAAACAAAAAAATTCCCAAACACTCCCATTATATCAAGTAGTCATTGACAAAGCAAGTGTTTATGTTATGAAAATATGTCGGTGAGTTTGTGTCAGTGTGCGGCTCAGTGTTGTGGTTTAGTTTGTCATGTTAGAGATGATTAAATCTGCAGGTATTTCCGGCGTTTCTAAGCAACAAACATCTAAACAATCTCCTTTTTTTATTGTTTTGTGCTGCTGTACTTTGAACAGGTGTTTGATTCCTTCGCCTGTCGATGAGGCAGCCTGTTATTTAAAGTAGTCAGAGATGGAGTGTGTGTGTGTTGCACGGTGGTGGCTCCCTGGTTGCCGCTCTGTCCGGTATTGTTTCTAGTTTACACTGTCACACACAGCAGATATTATCTGCAGTTCTCTGGAGCAGTGAAATGGTTTCTGGCAGTCCTTGTGAGAGGCAATGGTTGTGCCGCTGTGTGATCATTCTGCAGGTCAGAGGTTAAAGTTCTGACTTGTTTGCATCCCTTCCTTGTTATCAGTTGACCTTTTCACCTCAGCCTGCCTTTAAGGTTCTTGAATTTTGCATGGCTTTGATGCCCTCTGGGTTTTAGAAATCTATCGCCATCTAAGGCAAGTTTTTTTTTTCACTTGGAAGCAGATGTTTGCCCCTTGCCGCCTGCTTTCTGTTCCTTTTTAAAGTAAATCTTGTTTGTTTGTGGGTCTGCGCTCATGGTGGCAGGCAAGCATCTCCCCACAGACAAGGCTTTAATATTCATACCTTTGATCAAATCTTTATTTCATTTCTTTCCTTTTTCTCTTAAAGACAAAGAAAGCCCTCTTTTTTTCCCTGCAGATTAATGATGATAACTCTGTTATTACCTGCTGTTTAGTCTTGATCTAAAGCGCTTAATTTCTCAGGGCCTAATTTTTCTAATCTTCCTTTCGATATTTTTAGATAATTACCCCTCCTTTCTCTATGCACCGATCATCAGTTGTGCTTCCATCGTCCATTAAATGTCTCGTTTGTGATTCACACTGTGATATAGCATCATTATTAGACATGTTTTAGACCGAGATGTGGATATTTCACTTTTAAAGCGAGTATTTCTGTTTCTCCAGGTTGTCTAAGAGTAATTTGAACTGTTTGTTTTTTATGAGTTTCAAACTTACCGGTACTTGAATTTCAAATCGGAAACCGCAATTAATCAAACCAGCAAGTCGGAGACTGTAAAAGCACCAAATGTGTCTGTGCATGTGAAACCCTGAGCCGTGGTGTGTTTGTGTGCTGTTAGGTTTCAGAAATAGGGCTCCAAAGCTTAATGTTCAGTTCTAACATCTACAGGTGCTGGTCATAAAATTAGAATATCATGAAAAAGTAGATTGATTTCAGTAATTCCATTTAAAAAGTGAAACTTGTATATTATATTCATACATTACATACAAACTCATATATTTCAGATGTTTATTTTGTTTAATTTTGATGATTACAAATGACAACAAATGAAAATCTCAAAGTCATCATATCAGAAAATTTGAAACCTAGAAACTAGGATGCTTTTTAAGATTATTATCAGGGTAAAAAGGAATCTTAACATGTTTCCTGTTTCCATTTCCCTAAAAGGCTCCAGAAATGTGTTTAAATCAGCCTAATGACGTAGGGGGAAGTTTTGCCAAAAAAATGCACCATCCATCTAGTCCAATGGCGCTAACAACAAACTAAAGGCCAAACAAACAAAGCCAGACAGAGGATAACCACATCCCACCATTTGGGTCATAAAAGCACTGCATGTAATCTTTTAACCTGTTTTAAATATGGTGGAGTCTTTAACACACTGCAAAAAACATCTAGAAATAAGTAAAAAAAAATGTCTTAAATTAAGTGTATTTACACCTAATTTGAGCAGGTAAATAAGATGATCTGCCAATGGAATGAGTATTTTTACTCCTGAAATAAGATAATTAGATAATATATACTTGAAATAAGAAGAAAAAAAATATATTTTGTCTTATTTTAAATGTAAATTTTCTTGTTGCATTGGCAAAGTGTCTCATTTACCTCCTCAATTCGAGAAAAAATGCACTTAATTTGATCAAAAATTACTTATTTAGATTTCCATTTTTGGTGTGCAGTTACTATGAAAGGCCTTTCCCAAACCCAGGACCTTTTATACAGGAAGCTATATTCATTTGAGTAGAATTGGGTCAAAATGCTGAGAGGGTCAGGAAATACCAGCTATGTGCTAAAAGTCTCTGGAAAATCCAATGTATAATAGGCTAATGTCTTAGCTAAGCTAAAAGGAAATGAAACTTTATGAAGTTTTTGTTCTTAACACTTCATTTTTACATAACCACACTTTCTACTTAAAAACCAATAATAATTGCAATCTTATTTAAGCAAAGCTGTGACTGAGTGTTTTCATTGCTTTGTGCAAAATTGTCATAAAGCATTCATTTTCTGTATGAAAGTGTTAATGTAGATGTGTCCACTGGGTGAAGGGATAGTGTTTCATAAATTGCGGTGGATATAAAAAGCTTGGTAATGGCGGGGTGGTGCAGCAGTCCTGATGAGTTCATATTCATATTTAACTGCCAGAAACATGTCAGCTGGATTAATCAAACATTTAAAAACAAACTTCTGATTCATTTCCTCTGAGAGCACTCAACTCCAGCTAAAAAAAAGATGTGACCCTAAATGACTTCAGACAACTTTCCCCAACTAGTTTTTAATATATTGGTGATAAAACAGCTTCCGATGCACAGAGATGTGAAGGAAATGAACGGATGTCTGCAGAGCCGTTGATAATGTTCGGCAAGGACGCTCTGCAGCCGCCGTCTTGGAGGAAAGTTTGCCAAGAAATAATGAACCCCTGAAGTTAAGCTTTTTTATTTTAGTTTTTGAACAAAAATAAAAAATAAAACGACTTCCTGTATCTGTAAAGAAATTAAAAATACAGCGAGAGATTGAGTACTTCTAGCCAAGGCGGCATAAAAAAAGCTATTTGGCTGCAAACAATATTCCGTAAAAATTCAAAAAATATCCACTGGACTTGGTTTTCAAATGAGACATTTGAATTGAGAAAGCTTCCTGGAGAGGTGGCGAAACGTCTTCAAATCTTGAAAACCAAGTCCAGTGGATATTTTTTGAATTTTTACGGAATGACTATGACCTGGATGACTGAGAACCTTCATCAGCATGCTGCAAACAATAGGTCTAGGTGTGTTTAAACTCAGGGGAATTGGAAAGGGAGGTGGCAGCAGCTGTACAGATGGATGTAGAGGTGATCTGGGGAGGCAGAAACCCACTGGAGACGATGTCGGGGCTGGGAAGGTGTGCCAGAAGATAACAGACAGCGGCAGAGCTCCAACTGAGCTGAAGAGGCAAACTCTGCTCCCTTCTTCTTTCTAGTTTTTTTATTAATCAGCTAAAAAATTGATGCAGATACATTAGAGACGATGAAAGCATTTAGTTAAATGGAAAATCCATCAGATTTATGATCCTAATTTCAGCCCACACTATGAAAAGTACATGAAAGAACCTGCAATTGCCCCTCATTTGTTACCATACTGAACATAAATCAGACGCTACCTTGGATACATTTACAGATGCTTAATGACTGAAGATGTGCTCAGATTTTTCCCAGCAAACAATCTATTTAAAGAGAGTCTGGATAAAAAAAAAAAGTCCACCATGCTCCCTGCCGTGGTGACCGTTGTCAGGTTGCCTCGGAGCAAAGCTGTACGTGTTTCTCACTCGGCTGCAGTTGGCATGAGAAAGCTTTTTAAATGCCAGGACCTGGGAGGAGAACCTGAATCGCTCTGCTGGCTGTAATAATAGCCGGGAATAAATCCAGAAGCTATTAGAGGCGACTCAGACGGGCAGATTCTGTCTGCCGCCTTTTGTATGTGAGCTGGATCCTTCATGTGGTTCTGTCAGGGACTGAAGCTATCTGTGAAGCAGAGGATCAGGGGAGAAGAAACCAAACCAGGCATCTCATTATTTAGCCTGAAAATTGGATCCTATTTGACTCTGATACTGAAACCATTAGCGTTTTGGATTCTGGTGACCCAGATTCCACGATACGGTTCGACTCTCTCCCTTTTTTATTCCCTAGAAACAGCAGCGATTTAGGCTGAAAATATTTATGTAGTATTTTCTGGTCAGGTTGAATTATTTTATTTTGTGTTTCCCTCTAATAAAGATGTTTTTTATTCCTCTGTGTTAGAACGCTCATGTTTCATATAGACATGTACAAAGCTCTAATTATATAGCAGACTAAAAACATGCAGCTCCTGTTTTTAATAAACTCAGCTCTGTTTCTGTGTTTTCATACAGGGAAACATTCAGTGCTAGTCTAATGATTGACATGTTTTATCTCTTGTTTTGATGCCACTTGTTAGTTATTTAGACCATATAGAAATGAATTAAATCAACCAGAAAATCTAGAAAATAAAATGTCTTAGAGGCCTTCTGGACACATTCAAAGGATCAGGAGGACTGCTTGCTGGGAAGGAGAATGGAAATAAAGGAAGACTTATTTTTTCTTTAAAATCTAAATATTTCCCCTTTTATCTTTCGTTTGTTGTCAGTAAAAAAAAAAAAAAAGAAGAAGAAATGAGCTGAGTTGGAGCATAAAACCAGCAGATTTAGTGTTTCTGTTTGGGTCAAATGTGTTTTAATGCGTCGCTTATTTATTTCCTGGAGTAAAGCATGTTGGTTTTTCTGATTCCTTCCTGTCGTGCCAGTCCTATGACAGCTGGTGATGACCAGGATTTCTACGCTCCAGACAATGCTGGCAAACCCGACCGACCACTGCTGGTATTTTGTGGTGAATTCCTGTTTAGAGTAATAAGGAAGTTCCCTTCATTCTATTGCCTCATCTGAAGCTTTCGCTTTCTACCTGAGCTCCTTCCTAGAGTCTTAAAGCAGCTGGCAGTCTGTGTCGTTGATGTGAACGTTTGACACTCACCCTGAAGGTTTCAGAAATGGACCGGCTCACAGAACTTCTCCTAATTCACCTTCTGTCTTCTGGGAACGAGTTAATTTTTTCCCAGTGTTGCTCTTTGTGTTGTTGACACAGCTGGAAGAGTAAACACGTGCGAGCCGAGCGTCTGCGGGGGTTCGGCCAATCTGCGACGAGGGGAGTGGGATCCCTGATGGGTCTTAGCTTCAGGATCTCGTGGTTCCGGTTCTGATCCAAGCAGTTATGCGGTGCTGGGGCCGTTGGAGCTGCGGGTTGCTGGGCAGAAGTGGCGCCTGCTGCTTGGACAGAGAGGATTATTACCATCCGGTCCAGAGATCGGACACACAGGTTGGATGTTTTCCTTTGTTTTTTTTTTCAAACAGAATCTTTCACCTACTTAGATTAGCTGCAGAAATGTCTTTCTGAGGAGACCCAGAGACAGTCTGACCTGGACCAAATGCTAATCATGCGCTGTTTCATTTACTAAATAAGCAGCTTGATGATTCTAACTGTTTCATATTTACATGCTGATTGAAGCCTCCTGTTTAATTTTCTCTAAATCAGCCATTAAAAGCGGCGTTTCTGGCCCCTGCTCCCCAGGACACACTGCCCTGCATGTTTTACATGTTTCTGTGCGTCATCATGCCTGATTCAAACGAAACATCCTCTATCAATACTGCAGAACTTTGTTAACCAACCAACAATGTGAACAAAGTGCGTTTTAAGAATCCAAAACATGCAGGGCAGGAATCTAATGACCAGTGGCGGCCGGCCCATAGGGGGTGCTGGGGCACCGCCCTCCCTGATAAGAAGAGAGAAACGTAAAATATATTTTTAGAAATTAACTCATAAATGTCAGTTTTACTCTCTAGAGTGTGTACCTATAAGCAAAACAAATTATATAAACTACATTTCCCTATCTACTGTCATTAATTTGTGGATTTCCACAGACAGACTCCTACCGTCTCTGTTCTGGGGGCGCTGATCAGACAGCCCCACATTTGCAGAGAATCTGTCAATCATGTACTATTGCTAGGTGAATTTAATGGCCAATCAGCGTCTCGGAACTTTATGGTCTTGGGGCGCTGAAAATACTGCACTTTAACAGGCTTCTGAACCCAAGCGCAGGTGCAGACAATTAGAGGGAAGATGGCGAATGTAACGAGCGAGATGCAGCTTCCACCAAATTCGGTGAGATCCTTATTTATCTACCCGTTTGCCAGAAGAACATCCCTGTTGTAGGATATGAACATTTCATGTCATGGTTATTGTGACTGTGACGAATCCACCTCGTCGCTTAAAACAACCTCTCTAACTTTGCGCGCCACACACACATTCCTGTTATACTGTGTTTGTGAGGACCAATACACTCGCGCTGAGACCAGTAGCTCCATTAACTTAAAACACACAAGCTGTTCCTGGTTACCTGCTGGAGTATTGAGGGTGCACACTTAATATTTCAGTGGGGTTAGCCGTGTGTGTGTGTGTGTGTGTGTGTGTGTGTGTGTGTGTGTGTGTGTGTGTGTGTGTGTGTGTGTGTGTGTGTGTGTGTGTGGGTGTGTGGGGGGTGTGGGTGTGTACGTGTTTATGCTATGGGGACTTGTCATCTTCAGTCTGGCTGCGTCTTTGCTGGGTTCAAACCCAGTTTGGTGTAATTGAATAAGTCAATGAATCTGTGTAAAAGAATTAAGTTGTAAAAATTATTTGTTTTTGTACATCAATTGTTTGTGGAGGTAATATATGGACAAAACTGATTAATGAGAAGAAATCAGAAATAAGACAGCCTGTAGGGGCTTAAACTATTTAATGAGGGCTGTGGGAAGAAAAGTGGCAATGTTTGTTTTCTGTTTCTTTGTTACATTGCTGGTAACTGGAGGGAGGCTGAGGCCCAGAGGATCTTGTATATGTTTAGTTTCTTTTGCACCCTGTTTTGAGTTTTTGAGCACAATAAATCACCAACACCGGTAACCCGACTGAGCCTGGATTCTTGGAGGCCAAAGAACCCCGTCACAGTGACCCAAATCATCACTGTTACTGTTATTATATAGTAAATTAAATCATTACTGTTAAATTGTATGTATTGTCCAATTGTTTATTTGAATTCTTATTCCGGATTAGTTGGAGACATACACTAGGCTATATCAGCCCCACCAAAAATATTTTTCACCAGCCGCCACTGCTAATGCCGTTACAGATGTTACAGATGATACAGATGTTATGGTTGAGAAGGTTAAACCAGGTGCTCCTTAAAGGCCCTTTGAGGGACATTCTTGAGTTTGTATATTTGGTAATAAAACTAAGAAAAACCTGATAATAATTGTATTTCAATGAATGATTGTAGATTAGGGTCTGATTTAAATCAGGAAACTGGATTGCTGTAATTATCCCTCCCTTCTCTCTCTGGGAGCTTTGGGATATTGGCTGCTATAATCCCTGTTGGCTTTTAGCATCTCGTGGATGTCTTATTAATGCTGAATATGCAACCTTGGCAACTGGAAATTATTTTAAACAGATAATGCATCGTTCACAGTTTTTATGTAAACCAAATATCGCCTTGAACATGCACGGTGCAGCCCTGCACACAGCAGGATTTGGCCTGTGGTCTTTGAAAAATGGCCGAACACCGCAGATGGCAAACAAACAAAGCTTTGAAAAATCAGGGACAGAATATTCTGATGGGATACAAGAACAAAAGAGAACCTGAAAATAAAAGTAACATTTTGGCAGCATTTGAACAAACATGAAATATTTTTACGTTGGCTATCTTAGTCATTTTCTTTCTTTTGACCAATAGAGCTGTTGATTAGTATGTTGCTCTAAACCACAATTTCAGTAACTTAATCCCTTTAAGAACTTTAAAAAGTAGGTAGTAGTAAGATGTACAATTGGTACAGAAAGACAGTGCTGGATTAATAAACTAATAGAATAAAAAAGTTATAGAAAAGTCTCAATCGTCCAGTACTTCATTGGAGAAATTTACACCCCCGCAGAAAAGTTAATTATAATAGGAAGCCTGTAGATTTAAACAAGGGTTAGAAATGCAAAGAAACAAAAAACACGAGATTGTGCAACATGAGAAATTACTGTTGATTGGTAAATACTGTCAACTACTGTGATTTAGTTAATAAAAAAAAACTAATGAAAAAAAAGGAAGACTTGTGCAACAGTGTAGCATGATTTAGAGAAATGTGCAAACCTGTTTTTGTGGCTAAACCACAAAATCTGCAAGAGTGGATACAAACATTGAGTTTTATATTAGCTTTTATAGGGAGGAAGGATCTGCAATAATGCTCCTTTGTAGGCATGCAACGAAATGAAAATTCTTGGCTGAAGAAGTTATGTTTAGTATTAAAATCTTACTATTTTTGCCTATGATGTGTACTAACCCTATTGAAAAAATCATATTATATTTTAAACTCAAAGCAGTTCACTAACTTAACTATTCAGTAACAAAAGTACCAAAATATCTGTTTACCACTGAGACCTTGGCTCCGTTCACTGCGGCCTGAAGTGACCCAAATCCGATTTTTTTTTTTTTGCCCACATGCGACCTGGATCTAATCTTTTCATGGCTGTCTGAACAACACAGATCCGATTTCTTTTCCAATGCGACCCAGGCCACTTGGCTATGTGGTCCTGAATGCGACCTGTGTCTGGAAGGCCATGTCGCATTCATCCAACCTCAATGACTTTAATACCTGACAATCTTTTTTAGATGTTTAATCATTTAGAAAATAATGTATTTTTATAGTTGGGAAAGATAGCTAGATGCGCACTGGCGCTACCATCATGTTTACTTCCGTAAACACAGAGCATGCTGGCCTGTGATGTCATTGCGTCCTCTACTGCGCATGCGGAACACTTGCGTTGCGCTTTTTTGCTTCAGTTCTTTTATTCACGCGCTTGATGTTTCTGCGAGCTGGAGAAGTTTGTCGCAGAATGAATGAATGAATTTATTGCGGACAATTTCAGACAGACAATTTGACAAACAACAATAAATGACTCAACCAAATACAACAAACTAGTTGACCTCAACCAAACCAAACAGCAATTTCCAAACTAACTAAAATCATCTGAACAGAAATAGAAACCCCTCCAACAAATAAAGCAGTCGGTATATACAGCCAGCGAAATGACATCAATTAATGGAAGTTGTCTGAAAATCATCACAATTTTGTCTGCGTTGTTTCAGTGTTAAATGTTTATTTCAGTAGCTGAATTCTGGGCACATCCCTCCTCCTTTGTGCATCTACAGTAGATGGCAGCAGTCTGTCACTGAAGAAGAGCTGTGAAAATGTTTATTGAGTCTAAGTTAGTTTAAAGGGAGTTTGTGTTTTTGGAACAAAAACATTAAGCTTTTTTGGACTCTCTAATCTTTGTGTGACCAAAGCACGAGCTGGTACTTCGTTTTTAGTAAAACATTGAAAGAAAAGGGAAAAAAACGTAGTTTAAGTCATCCCTTAGCGAGCCGGTTCCGCCACACTGGGATCAACCTAGGGTTAAGGATCTTGATCTGGGAGCCACATTGAAGGTCTGACAATCTAACGATCTAATTATAGGTAAAAAAGTGTCCTAAATTAAGTGTATTTGACCTTAATCTTAGCATTTAATTCAGATGATCTCTCCATGGAATGAGTATTCCTGCCCTTGAAATAAGATAAGTTGTTGTTATTCACTTGAAATAAGACACTGACATTATTTCTTTTCTCATTTTAAACATAAATCATCTTTTTCAGTGGGCACATTTTGTTACCTGTTTACATAAAGGAATAATGCACATATTTGCAGTGTGTGACTGATGGTTTCTGAGCAGGAGAAGATGCTCCCCAACCTCAGTTTCCGTTTCAAAGTTCAGGGGGAAACGCCAAATTTGGAGCTGTTTTTATTCAAATAGATCCTGTTATGCTTTTCTGCCTCTCCTGTCTGCTGAGCAAACTGATCTCTGCACCTAAAACAGGATCCAAGAGTTCTTACCGACAATAATCTGATTGGGTTTTACCGTCATTCCAGACCCCCGGCTTCGTGCAACATGAAGCGACTCAGACGGCTGACCTCAGGAGCTGTCCGTCTGAGACGACGAGGCAGGAAACATGAATCTCTGCCTGATTTCTGTACAATTATAACAATCCAGCTGAAAACTCTTTTTATTCCTGCAATAATTAGCAGCCAAATAAGTGGCATGATTCATAAATTAATACTTCTACTTAGTTCTGATCATCAGCGTCTTTGATTAAAAATCAAACTGATTACTTTACAGCTTGGGATTACTTCAGAGTTGGTGTGAACAGATCTCATATATATTCTAATAGCCTTTCAACACCCTGAATAAATAATTGCCCCCCTTATGT